GCTAGGATATAAGCCCTGTCGTCAGACGACAGAATTGTCGCCAGGCGATAGAGCCATATCGTTGGCGACATGCTCTATTTTCTAGACGCTAGTTCCTACATGCCTCATAAGCTTTCTGTGCTCTAAGAATTTTCCAATTTTCGCAGTATTATTTTGATTCTATTTGTGAAAGATATTTCTCAAATTTACTACGTGTAAAAATCCTATGTTTTTTACTCATTACGGATGGTATTTCCAATGAGAACCTTTTTATGCATATGAAAATAATGTTAATCAAAATTACACACATAAAATACTTAGAACATTTTGAGTCTCATCCACTCATTCTAAATCATTGCAGATATAAATTTCAGGAATTAAAATAGAAATCCTCCCCAATGGAGTTGCCAAAAACTGTAGGGAACATTTCAAGAATTACCCCAAACTTGAGCCCCACTATGATCATACACTTAAGTATGGTGGCGTCCAAAGGGAAGGAAGCTAGAGCAAAAGAGTCGCCAGCAAGTTTTAGGAACTTGTAAACCGTTCACAAGATGAAGGTTATACCCCTTATGATCCAGGAGGTCGTTAACTCCAATAGGTCTGGAACCAAGACTGGAAGTTCGAGGATGAAGGTACAAATCTTATCTAAAAAAGAAATAACCTGCCCTAATAATAACCCTCTACTTTTATTTTACTCTTATTCATGTGCGCTTTCTGACTAACATGCAATCATTAGGTTTACCCCAAACCTGTTTATCTATGTTGGTTGAATATTAATGCACAAGCAAAACCATGATTGGCGATCACTTGAATTATAATCAAATTAACCCTAACAAGATTATTAATTATCTTATTAAGCGTGATTACAAGTACAAATTTCCTTTAAACATGCATAAAAGGCGTGATCAAGCAATAACAATATAATAAATCAAGCAAAATAATATTAATCATAATAATAATTATAACAATCATAATAATAATAACCATGTCAACGCTAAAGCATAATAATAGCAAGATCCTAGGCATGAACTAACAAGATTAATAAAAAATCCTAGCATGTCACTAAATAATAAAATATCAAAGCTTTAGCCAAACATGATACTAACTTGATAATAGGAAAGAAATAGGAAGCATCATAGAAATCATAATTGATATAATTAAGAAACTTATTTTTTACCCTAAACATCATACTAAGAAAAGCATCCTAACATGATACTAGGGAAAAGATCCTAACATGAAACTAGGAAAAATAACAATCTAAACATGATTTCTATATCATAATATCAATTAAACAATTAAAGTACTTACTTGGATGCCTCATACCTCTTTCTAATAACAAAATACACACGTTAGTAACTTCAAGAAAAATAATAAAATAATTAAATTAAATAGTTAAAATAGAGATTAGGGAACAAACCCTCAGAAATATCAAACCTTTCACGTCTAGGGCGAAGGCAACTTCGAATTTGTCTAGGTGTGTCTAGATCTTGTGAATGCGAAATTTTGTTTGTAAAAGGGTTGGTTTAGAAAGAGAGAGAGAGAATCAAGAAATTCTTGATGATTAAAAATGAAGGTCTAAGAACGCTATTTATAATGAAATAGTCCAGAATTGGTAAAAAGAATCAGAGTTCGAAAAGGAATAAAACACACCTTTGTCGCCAACAACAGCATATGTCGCCGCGCGACAGGGTCTGTTGCCAGGTGACAAGGTATATCGTCAGGTGACAGCCTATCGTTAGGTGCTACAGAAAGTTTTTCCACGCGTTTTGACTTTTTTCTAAAATCAAGTCGTAAATGTCCGTACGAAGGGTAAAATCGTAATTTCACATAAAACACTTCTTTTATTCCAAATAAAACTCATGAAACATGTTTCTTAGGATCAACTCCTTGAGAGGGTAATGAAGAAGGGGTAGCTCAATCTTTCAAGTTATTGGCTATTTGAGTGATTTGGGTTTCAAGCATCTTGTTGTGTGTCATCATTTCATTAAATTTCTTGTAACTTACTGCCATGTAAGTGTTCAAAAGCTTTGTTTGATTTTCAATGATCTCCTATAAGGTAGTCTTGGAAGATGGGGGTTGAGCATAGGAATTATCACCATTGCCTTGAAGTCTTGGAGCAAATCATGGTAGGGGTCCCCTTTGATTGTTGTTTTAAAAATTGCCCCTATTTTGATTGTTCCAAATACCTCGGCCTTGATTGTTGCCAAAAATTTTGTGTTGGCCACCAAAGCCATGATATTGGCCTTGATTTCCATACCCTTGGCCTTTGTTTTAATTACTATAACCTTGATTGTTATAGTTACCTCAAAAACCTTGATTTCCTTGGTTCCTATAACTAACATTGTTGTAGTTATCAAAACCCCTTTGTTGGTGAGCATTCCTAGTCCCAAAATTTCTTGGACCATCAAATCTTTGCCTATTGTTATTGTTGGAAACAAAAATTCACTTGCTCATAAACATTGTTTTCAACATCATCACAATTCTCAAAAGCATGTGGACAACTAGAAGAGTCATGGTCATATGACCCACAAATATCACAAAAGACACAACCATTTGGCATATTACTTGAAGTAGAAGGAGGAGTAAAGTTAGAAGATGTACCTCTCCCCTTAATGTGGGAGGGAAGACTTGATGCAATTGAAGAGGCACTCTCTAGCTTGGCCTTGATCAATGTCGTCTCCTTCCCCAAGTTTGAAATTTGGTAAGACAAGTTATTGATTGCATTGAGATGATCAACCGAATAGACCGTTGAGCCAGTGTTTCTTGTAGACTCTCTCTCCCTCTCTCTCCCTCTCTCTCCCTCTCTTGCCAATCCATGTATTGACGAACTACATCCTCTATTATATCTACAACCACTTCCTCGGTCTTGTTCATAATCGGGCCTCCGGCTCCGACATCAAGACATGACTTCCCTTGGGGACTCAATCCTCCATAGAAGATTTGTATGATTTGGTAGGTCGAGATTCCATGGTGAGGACATTCTCGTTGATACTCCTTGTATCTTTCCCCGGCCTCTTACAAACTCTCTCTAGGATTTTTATTGAAACTTTATATTAGAGTTCTTGCCTCGGTGGTCTTCTTTTGAGGGTAAAAACAAGAAAAAAAACTCTTTGGTGACCTCATCCCAAGTTCTCAAGGAATTAAGCTTCACTTCCTTATGTAGCCACTCCAAAGCTCTTCCGATTAGAGAGAACAAGAATATCTTGAGCCTTATGACTTCTTGAGAAACCCCATTGACCTTGATTTTGTTGCAATACGTCTCAAACTCTTTGAGATGATTTATTGGGCTTTCATGCTTGACACCACTAAATTTCCTTCTTTCAATCATTGTTATCATCGTCGGCCTTATCTCAAAGTCATTAGCCGGTGTTGTTGGAGGAGCAATACCACTCTCAAATCTATAAGCATCGGGAGTTCCTAACTCCTTTAAAGCAACTCTTGGTACTTCACCCATGTTTCTTTGTTCTTCTTCTTGAAATTCTTCATCACTTAATGAGCTAGAACTCAAGGATCGTCTAGCAACTCTTATCCTTGTGATTGTTCTCTCAATCTCCGAATCAAAAGGTACTAAAGTCCTTCCTCTTGTCCTATGCATACAATCTCAAAGAAACAATTAGTAGAACGGCTACAAGTGTAGCCTAAAAGAGAAAAATATTTTAATTTTTTTAAAATGAAATGAAATAGACTCAACAATAATAGCAAACTACTATGCCATTCCCCTGCAACGGCGCCATTTTTGACGAAAGGTGCATTCTAGGTCATTGAAACTAAAATTCCTCAAATAAAACTAAATTTGTAACCAAACCTACACCTTGTAGTAGGGCAAGTTCGGGTCGAACCAATAGGAATGGGGGAAGTTAGCTATTTCCAAAGTCATGCTATTTCGAAGTGTAAAATGGAATGCAGGTTATCTTAGTTCAACTAAACAAACAAAGCAAACAAAAAGTAAATTAATCTATCAAACACTAGGAATTTAGGATCCACATATTCTTGAAGTCGAGTATTGCAAGGGAAGATAGACAATGCAATAAAAAAAGCTCAACAAGTTATCTCCTAGCAGTATAACTAGCGCCAACTACGAAAGACTCTACTAGGAACGTCACAAACCAAGCTCAATCGATGAATGCGAGGTACAAATCTATGGTCCGTATGAATGTGAGAACACAATGCAATATAGTATGACAATCAAAGTTAGCTACTCTTTAACTAATCAAACACATGCACAAAATCAATTAACACATTTAATCACAATGCTAAATCAATCAAAAACTCATAATTAGCTATGATCCATCACTCAAACATGCTTCACCACATCCCTAGCAAATAAACTACTCACAATCCATGGAAGAAATCCAAATCAAAACTAAGCTAATCACCAAATTCATCATCATCATTTCAGTCACTACTACAAAAATGTTCAAAGAGACTCGAAATAAGAGACCGGTTAAGTACATAACGGGTCTCTTTCAAAGGAGATACCCATTATCATAAACAACGGGTCTCTCGAAATATCAAAGAGACCCGTCATTAAAGAAAATAGGTCTCTAGGAATTATTTTAAAATTTCAAGGAATATAGAGAGACCGGTCATTTTAAATGACAGGTCTCAAGTAATATCCAAGAAACCCGTAATTTAAATAACCGGTCTCATGAATGTATTTATTTTTAGTTGAGAAATTAGAGAGATTAGTCATCTTAGTTAACAGGTCTCTCGAATTGAATCTCTTGATAGGCTTGCATCCATAAACCCATAATCCTAAGTCCTAAACTAACCCTTGTTTGTCGCTTCCCTCCTTTTTTCTCATTTCATATTTTCTTTCTCTCTCTTCTCCCTCCTTTAATCTTTCGTATTCTAAGAATTTCATCCTTTAGTTCTTTCTCATCTTATACTTCTTTAATTATTTCCTTCCTATCTCTTTAAATTTTAAGAAGTTATTTCCAATGTGAGTTTTGCATTCTTTTTCGTTATTTAGTATTTATCTCAAATTTTTTTCGTAATTTTTTTTGGGTGTTCTTTGTTTGAGCCTTAATTAAATCTAACGCGAAAATCAAAGGGAGAAAGATCGTGAAAGAGCTCAAGCTCGCAATTCTAGCAAAAGGAAGACGTCTAAAACCGACGGTTTAACACCTGAGCAGCGTCGAGAAAGGTAACCTTTTTTCAGATTTTTCTAATTAAATCAATTATTTTGAGAATTTTGAGAATCAATATAATTTGGGTTTGATTTGATTTTATTAGGGATGCAAAAGCGTTGCAAGAGAAATTAGCGAAGAAGAACGTACAATCTGAAAGCGGAAGCAAGAAGGAAGTAGGTAAAATTAGAAAATAATTGATAATTATCACCCCCGCAATTGTTTAGGTTGTAAATTTTAATTTATTTAATTCAAGGTAAGAAAATTTTGGGGGTTTGTATTGTTGTAACATTAGTGTGATTAATCTGATCTAGGGTTTATGTGTTGAGGAGTTCAATGGGAGTGTCTTATTATCAAGTTAATTGTATTGAAGGATAATGGTTTCTTTGGAAAATTCGGCAGTTTGATCTGACTTCTAAACCTAAATTTATATCTAATTGGTGATTGATAGTGATTATCCTTTACTTTTGTTTTATAAATTTGATATTTTATTTGGATTCAATGAAATTTTTTGTTTGATTGGAAGTTTATATTTTATGTTATGCGGATTTTTTATTTTATATCTCGTTCTTTAAACTTTTGTTTTGTTCATTTTCAATTATGTTAAAATTTTTCTGAATTATTTTTTGGATAATAATATCTGCTTTTTATTTTTTTGTTTGTGGGTGTAGGTAATGATCTCTCAAGTTTGGACTGAAGAAATTTGTAACTGCAGAACTTTGAAGTTTAACGTCTTATCAATTATAGGATTTTTATTTTTTAATTTTAATGTATTGAATTTTTTATTGTATCTGTATTGTGTACGTAAATATTTAGCTGATGAAATACAAGAATTATTTTTATACTAGTTTTGTGCCCCGTGCGATGCCCGGGTTGTTTATGTAATTTTAAGATAAAATTATATTATAATTCAATTTAATTGATTGAAAATAGAATTCTAAATTAATTTTTTTTCCTCCAAAGTCTATCTATATTTATCCAACGTGGTATGACATTTAGTGAAAAGTTAAAATGCTATATGATGTTGTCTTGTGGCCTAATGATAAGTTTATTTTTTGGTATTTTATCGAAAATAAAACTCTAAACTAACCATCTTATTCTAAAATTCTATCCTAATTTGATTGAAAAAAGAATTTTTAACTAACTTTTTTTTTATCTTATGAATATATTTAAATCTATCCAAGGTGGCGCGACACTTGGCGAAAAGTAAGAATGACAAGCGTCACTATTTCGTGACCTAGCTAAAAGTTTAGCTTTATATATTAGTTAGATGATTCTGTTTTTAATAATGTAAAAAATTCAAATTAAATAAGTTATATTGATAAATTGCAATTAAAAAAACTAAATCACCTATTTTTTTATTTTTAAAATGATACCAAAGAGACCTGTTAACTTTAAAGCGGTCTCAAATTTCTTAAAAAAGAGATTGCCTAGTTAAGATAGATGGTCCCAAATTTCTGAAAACAGAGACCGCTTTTCTTATACAGGCAGTCTCAATTTTCTTAAAATTGAGACCGCTTATCTTTAGGAGGCGGTTTTAGATTTCTCATTATAGAGTCCGCCTCTAATAAAGCAGTCTCTTTGCCAAAGTGACCGCTGCGCTAGAGACCACCTCTAAGGCAGTCTCTTTGGCTAATTTGGACGGGTCTCTTTGGCCAATTTTGTAGTAGTGAATCAAACCAAATTCAATGAACTAAATAACAAATTTGAAAAATCAACAAACAATTTAAATCTAAAGCTAAAGATTGCATTAAAGTAAAAAAAATCCTTACAAAAACTTTGGTGAAATCAAAGGAAATTGTGCTTAGAATCATCAATCATCAACCATGAATTTCTCTCTCTAAAATCTTAGAACAAGTGTTTCTCTCTCTAAACTTATCTATCTAAAAACTCTAATTCTAATTCTCCCACTCTATTCTCTAATTTTTTTTCTCTAAAATTAAATTATCTCTCTAAAAATTGAAGAAAATTCTATATATATAGTAAAACTAACAAAGAAAAGTTATTTAGATCGTCCAAAATAGACCCGTACAGGCGCAGTCGTCTTCAAGAGGATGCACGACAGCCCAAAAAAGGGTATGGAACAGGGGGAGCCATAGGCGCGCCCGCGCCTAAGAACCGAACAGCCTCCTTTCCCTTCATCTTGATGCTCCTCGTGCGATCCACTTGGTGTACTTAATGAACACGGAGCATGGCAGACCCAAAAACACCTCAACGGTGGGTTCAACACCAAAATTGGTGCCCCCGCGGCTTGAATGCACCGCCTAAGGTCAATTGGATCTTGCACATCTCAAAACTCGAGCTTCTAATAGAGAACACTAGGAATCCTAATCAATGCAAAACTTTGGAAGAAGTCTCAGGAATCCTTGGATAACGATCATAACCTGAAAATGAAAGAAAACAAGCAAATAAAAGGGAAAAAGACAAGACAAACAAAGAAATGCATGAAAATGGAAAATAAACTAAGGAAAGTGCAAAATAAGGAAAAAGGAAAGAAAAGAGCTATGAAAGCAATCTAAAATCACCCTAAAATAGAACAAATGAGTGCAATAAATGACACTCATCAGTACACAATGAAAGCATTACGATCTGATTGTTGTGGTGAATATTTGACCCAAGAATTTGATGAACATCTGATTAATTGTGGAATACTTTCACAATTAACCCCTCTAGGGACACCATAGTTAAATGGTGTGTAAAAAAGGAGGAATTGGACCTTATTGAATAAGGTTCGGTCCATGATGAGCTTTACTGATCTTCACAAATCATTCTAGAGAGATGCATTAGAAGCAGCTGCTAAAGTACTGAACAGAAGCAAGTCCAAAGCGGTGGAAAAAACTTCATTTGAGATATGGAATGGAAAAGCTCCAAAGTTGTCTTTTCTCAAGATTTGGGGATGTGAAGCCTATGTAAAACGTTTAAAAGGTGACGAACAACACCCTAAATCAGACAAATGTTTCTTTGCGGGTTATCAAAATGAGACAAGAGGGTATTACTTCTATAATCGCGAAGATATTAAAGTGTTTGTTGCACGCGATGGTGTCTTTCTAGAAAAGGAATTCCTCCCTAGAAAGCCAGATGGGAGTAAAGTAGTTCTCGAAGAAATCAGAGTCGAGCAAAAAATGGATGTTGATAAGACCACATCAGAGGCAAGGGAGCATATTCATGCGTCGGAGCAAGCTAATTCGACTAGTGTGACTCCTATCATCCCACTTGAATCTAATTCCTGCAAAAATCTTCAAATAGTGGAAGATAACATTTATATTGTTACTTCTACCCCCACGTAGGTCTGCTAGAATTAAAAAAACAAGCAGTTTGTTGAAGCTCTGTTAACTGAGGATTTTGAAATCCTCCTATATTGGATAATGAGGAACATGCAATCTACAAGAAAGCTTTGGTGAGCCCCAACTTTGATAAATGGCTTGAGGCCATGAAGTCCAAAATGGAATCGATGTCTGAAAATGTTGTGTAGACCCTAGTAGACTTTCCTGATAGGGTAAAACACATTGGTTGCAAATGGGTCTACAAGATTAAAACAGACAAAGATGACAATGCCTACATCTATAATGCAAGACTGGTTGCAAAAAGGTATAGACAGATTCATGTATTGACTATGATGAAACCTTTTCCCCATTAGCAATGCTTAAGTCCATTTGGATTCTTCTAAAAATTGTTGCATTTTTCGATTACAAAATTTGGCAAATGGATGTCAAAACCACCTTCTTGAATGGGTTCTTGGCGGAGGTTTTTGAAGATCCAGGAAATCCTAGTTTAGTATGCAAATTTCAGAAATCCATTTATAGTGGATTAAATCAAGCATCAAGGAGTTAGAATCTTCGCTTTGATGAGGCGATCAAACAGTTTGGTTTCCCCAAAAGTGAAGAGGAACCTTGTGTATACAAGAAGTCCAGTGGGAGCAGTATGGTTTTCTTACTCTTTTATGTAGATGACAGACTAATCATACATAATTACATACTAATGCTTGAGTCACTCAAGGAATGGTTGAAGAGTTGTTTCTCCATGAAAGACTTGGGTGTCCCCTAGTACATTTTGGGAATCAAGATCCAACAAGACAGGTCTCAAAGAATGATTACACTAAGTTAAGAGACATATTTTTATAAGGTTCTTGACAGGTTTGAGATGACAAACTCCAAGAGAAGATTTCTCCCCATGTCCCATGGAATTACGCTCAGTAAATCTCAATGTCCGGTTATTCTAGACGAGATTAGAAGTATGGCTATCATACCTTATGTTTCTGTAGTAGGGTCGATAATCTATGTCATGATTTGTACGAGGCCGGATATTGCATATGCATTAAGCATGTGTAGCAGATTTCAGGCAAATCTAGGTGAAGCACACTGGACAGCTGCCAAGAACATTCTTAAGTACTTGAGATGGACGAAAGGAATGTTTCTAGTATATGGCAGTGAAGATGAGTTTGTTATCAAGTTTAAACGGATTCGAGTTTCCAAACAGACAAAGATGATTTCAAATTCCAATTTAGGAACATTTTTAGTTTGAATAGACGATCAGTGAGCTGGAAGAGTTCAAAGCAAAGCACTGTTGCAGACTCTACGACAGAATCAGAGTATTTGGATGCTGTTAAAGCAACTAAGGAAGCAGTTTCGATTAAGAAATTATGAATTGAGTTGGACATTGTACCAAGTGCTAAAAAGGGAATTGAGTTGCATTGTGACAACAATGACACCATTGCTTAATCAAAGGAGCCTAGGTCACACTTCAAATCCAAACATGTGGAGATGAAGTATCATCTCATTCGAGAGATCTTCAGTAGAGGAGTTGTCAATATGTACAAAGTTCATACGTATCCACTTAATAAACCCCTTCCATTGCTTAAGCACTAGAAACATGCTAGTGCAACAGGATTGAGGCTAATCATGTAATTTAAGTTGTATTTGTTTTTGAGAAAACTTATTACATATGTATTACATTTATTAACATAATTATGTTAAATCGAAATTCATTATTTCTCTTATTTAATTATTGTTTTTTATATTAAATAAAATGTCCAAAATAATTATGGATTGATGGGCTCAACAGGTTAATGACCTGGTGAATGAAACCCCATAGGTGAACAAAATCCATATATTATTTAAGTTCCTAGTTCGAAATCATTAA